ATCTGGCTGAGCAGGAACAACAAGCTCTTCAACGCCAGCAATCTAAGTGCCTATGGAACACTGAATCTCGCAATAATCCGAGCAAGGGAGTGGATCCAAGCACAAAACGAGACGGCGTTACCCCACCCTCTACCAAAGAGAGATACAAGAGTAAATCTCCCGGGACACTATGTCCGATGTCAGACGGATGGAGCTTGGAACGGAGAGCATAGATCCGGAGGAACGGCCTGGATCTTCCACAAGAGTACCTCGGAGACACTAAACCAGGGATTCAAAGCGTTTGCGAACATAGCTTCACCGCTAATTGCAGAGGGACTGGCAATCCGTCAGGCTCTGCGACAGGCTCTCGACCTCGGCTTCAACAATCTGCATGTGGCTTCAGATTCCCAACAGCTCATCACCGCCATCAACTCGAAGTCATGCCTATCGGAGATCTTCGGAATCTTGCAAGACATCTCCTTTCTATCTTCATGTTTTAACTCTGTAATTTTCGGCTCAATCCCAAGATCTGAAAACATTGTAGCAGACGCTCTAGCGAAGCGATCTCTCCAAAGTCTCCTCTTGGGAGAGTGAACAGTTGGCAATTAATGAAAGGAGTTATTTGAACAAAAAAAAAAACTATGGTGAATGTTTCCGGTGAACCCAAAAAAGGTTGAAAAACTGGGCTTACCAACCACTCTTTAAACTAGTCTAGTTTCACTAGATAAGGAAACTATTTATCTCATTTTCCTTTTTAAACCAATTTTGTACTATTTTGGTTGACTATCTATTCCTTTTCTGGTCGTCTTCTAAAGACAAAAAAGCATAGTCTTTTACTCTTTTCTTTCCTGAATAACATGGACCCCGAAATTTCAAACCAGAAAAAACAAACCGATTCTGGTCGGTTATGTACCAAAATGGTTCTCAGCCAAAATCGGTTCGGTTTGGGTATCTCATACTAACCGTCAATTTAGAATCCAATTCCAGGTTTTTCTTATCCCGAGAACCGAACAGGTAGGTTCAATATTTTGGGCATATTCGAATACACAATACCTGAACCGATCTTGACCCAAACAAATTTCGGGTAAACATTGGTTCCTGTTAGGCCTGTGATTTTTACTCCAAACCTGATTCTAAACCCAAATTCGATAAAAAAAGAACCCAAACCCAAACCCAAATCCAAAGATATAGATATTGGTTTCTATATCACTTAACTCGAAAAATCGAAATCCACCGATGTCCTATGCCTAAGGGGGGCTTATTGAATTGATGATTTGAGAAGATTTTTTTTTTTTTTTCAAATCCCCTCTTATTGGATCTAGTATTTACAAAAATCATTCCAAATTCTGGCTTATTGGATTGATCATTTATACAAATCCCTTAAAATCCCACCTTATTGGAAAATTGGGATTTCATCATGAAAATCTATAGAAAACTGTTTTGAGTGATTTGTAAAATATTTTTAGTTAAAAATAAACAGATTCAAATACCACCTAATGAGATGAGATTTGATTATTAAACAATTGAACTACCATTTCCTTTTTCTTATCACACGACTAACACCAGAATTTTTATGATCTTGATAATGATAAAAATATTTTCTTGATTTCACAAGAACTGTTTGAGATTATCTTCTTCTTGTTAGTTAATTGAATATAAATAGATAATGTACCAGTCTCCAAACGCCACACTTTACCAGAAAAATTAGCATTAGGGTTTTTGAGAAAAAAAGGTAAAAGTTCTTGTCTCTATCATTTGTGTGTATTTTTTTACATAGTAATGAATGTTTTGTGATCAAACTTGTTTTTGATATTGAACTATACGATTGTGTGTTGTTGTTCTTGGATTTTTCTCAACGTTCTATATAATTTTCCTGATAATAGTGAATTGATTGGGTAGCTATCTCTCACAATCAATGGAAGATACACAAGAAAGCAAAAGTAAAAATCCGTATCTTCCTTGGTCTACTCACGAAACCAAAACATTGTTGCGTTTGTTGGTCGATGGTGTCAATCAGAACTGGGCTGATCAGAATGGTTCATTCAGTAAACTTACCGTGGAGCAAAGAATACTACCAGAGCTAAACAGAATTTGCGGATCTAAGAAAACTCTGCTCCATTACAAAAACCGAACGAAGATTCTGAGGGGTAAGTACAAGAGTTATGCCGATCTTCTACGTTTTAGTTCTGGATTTGGTTGGGATTCGGAGACAAAGAAGTTCACTGCTCCAGATGAAGTATGGGAAGAATATTTCAAGGTAAAATAATTTGTTAAAAGCATAGTACATGATTTGATTATGCACATCTTTTTGTCTTACATGATAATATTTTTGTTTTTCATAATAGGAACATCGGAAAGATAAACACTTACGTGACAACTCATTTGAAGATTATGAGGATCTACACACGATCTATGGGAAGAATGTAGCAATTGGAAAGAATGCAATGGGTTTAGGTGATGCCACAGATGCTCGTACTTATGGAGCAGAAAATAGTGAATGGGACTACCAAGGTGGATATACTCCTCAAATGATGGGTGATGATGATGAGGATGATGATAATAATGATGGAATAGAACAAGTTATTTCATCTTCGTCACAAAGGAATGCAAACGGAAAGCTCCCGATAAGGAAGAAAGCTAGGACTAAGAGATTCAACGTGGAGAAAATTTCTGATGAGATAAGTGCAGTTACTGGAATGAATAACCAGATGTTTAGTATGATACAACAAAGATGGCAGAAAGAAGCTGAAGAGAAACAAGCTGAGGAAAAAAATGATAATGTATGGGATGCTATTAAGGAAGTTCCTGACTTAGAGGAAAATGAACGTTTTGATGCTATGAACTTAGTTCACCAGTTAGGTATGAAGGCTGGGTTTGTGAAGATGACTATAGATGAACGTCGTGAATGGATTAAACGTAGCGTGCACAAGCCTTGAAGTTGGTGGTGGAAGAATTATCATGTTCTTAGATTAGTTTAGTTATATTGGTTTTTTTTTTTAAATGATCTTTATGCTTTGTCATGGTGTTTTTAATTTCTGATTTGGTATCTCTTTTTGTGTAGTTGCTTCTAAATAATAAAGAACTTACATACAATAGCTTTTTATCAAGCTGTTGTATTTTGTCTAAACAATTTTTTCTTCATCATGTTAATTTTTACAGTCTTTTTTTTTTGTGTGGCTCTAGTTATAAGAGATGAGTCACTGATCTTACACATATGTCACTTGAGCAGGTAAAGAAGATTGTGGTCACTTTCCACGTCTACGAAGTTAGACATCTTCGAGAAGAACTGGTATGATTTTTCTTTCTCTACTATTTTTAATTGAAAATATCTTGCCTTAGTTTTAACGAACAATTAGGAAAGAACATTAGATCAATAATAATAGTCTTGACATGGTTTGCAATGAACGAATTTATACAGGAACTCATTCCTTACTCAGCTCGCGAATTTTAACAATATGAAGACAATGTTCCTTTAACGATTTGAATACTCTTGTACAAAATCTAATTTACTAAAAGTAAAACACTTTAGTGTTGTAGATACGGTTCGGACTAGCTAGCTAAAGCTTTCATAAGTTTTACCTAATCTTGTGTTTCCATCATACTTTTTTTTGCATCAGATTCTCTAGTTATGGATCAAGCAATCCAACAGAGAGAAGAACTACAATTAAGGAAAAATAGAAAGAGATCAAGGAGTTTTCAATCAGACGTGGATATAATTTTGTTGCTGTCAACTATCAATGCGAGGATCTGCTTCCTAACACAATATTTACTGTCACAAGTTCATCGTCCAATTAAAAGCCAACTACAAGTCTGGGACATCGATATATACAAAAGGTTCTAGATGAGGATTCAGAACATTTTCGGAGTTTGTATCGTATGAATTCAGAGGCTTTCTTGAAGTTGTGCACCATTATCCGACAAAAGACATCTTTAAGAGATACTAGATGGGTTTCAGTTGAGGAAATGCTTGCCACATTTTTGCTCATTGTTGGCCAGAGCTCGAGATATATTCTTCCGCAAGATGTGTTCAAGAGATCAAGTTTCACAATAAGCCGGAGTTTTAATAAAATATTAAAGGTGTTAAACACCACTGGCCCAAGTTGGATGATCAAACCAGGAAATGTTGTACCTTCAAAATAAGAGAAAGTACAAGATATTATCCCTACTTTAAGGTACGTAAGATTTTTTTTCCAATTGCTTGTTTTGTTCAATTTTATTAGCAAATAATTTTGATCTTTTTTAGGATTGTATTGGAGCTATTGATGGAACACATATTCCTGCTATGATAGTAGGAAATGAAACTGGTAGATATCAAAACAGAAAATGAATTTTGTCCCAGAATGTGCTAGCTGCATGCAACTTTGATTTGCAATTCATATATGTCCTTACCGGTTGGGAGGGTTCAGCTCATGATGCTAAAGTGTTAAATGATGCTTTAACAAGACGTAACAATAGATTTGAAGTCCCAAAAGGTACACATTACTCTTTACCAACAAATATTTTATGTATGAAGATAAAATTTCTTTATAATTTGATGACTTCAATTTATATTAAAGTTCAACATTTTTTAGGAAAATTTTATCTAGCTGATTGTGGGTATGCCAACCGAAGTAATTTTCTTACTCCATTTCGAAGCACTCGTTATCATCTTAAAGAATATACTGGAGGAGACAGTGATCCCAAAAATAAAGAAGAATTGTTCAACCACCGTCATGCTTGTTTGAGAAATGTCATTGAAAGGATTTTTGTTATTTTCAAATCCAGATTTTTGATATTCAAATCTCCACCTAGCTTTCCATATGAGACACAAGCAGAATTAGTGCTTGCATGTGCTGCATTGCATAATTATCTTCGTCAAGAGTGTCGTTCAGATGAGTTTCCTCCGGAAGAAACTAGTGATAGACAAAATGTTACCCAACCAAGCTGTGCTGGTCATCAATACCTTGGGACACAAGACCAACAACGAGAACATGTTATATGGCATCCACCACTCTTTCCTAGAATTACAATGATATGAGCAACTACCACCTATTGTCTTTTCCGACGAGTGTAGTTCTCCTAACCACCAAACTGGTGGGACGACACCACACACAACATGTGTGCCTCTTGCAATAGACCTCAAGGTGCGTAACTTTTGCAGCCACCACCTTAACATATTTAAACTCAAAGAGGACAAAAACCCTAAGTCTATTGTCTCCAAGCCTTCTCATGAAGTTGGACTTCTCTTTGAAATAAAGCCCACATGAATTCTTGTTGTTATCTCGAAGTATATGGTATCCACCACTCTTTCCTAGAATTACAATGATATGAGTAACTACCACCTATTGTCTTTTCCACGAGTGTAGTTCTCCTAACCACCAAAGTGGTGGGACGACACCACAAACAACATGTGTGCCTCTTGCAATAGACCTCAACGTGCGTAACTTTTGCAGACACCCCC